GGGGAGGGAGGGAGGAGGAGCAGGAGGAGAAAGAAAGGGAAAGGGGAGGGGGAGGGGAGGGAGGGAGGAGAGAAAAAAAGAAGATAAGGAAGGAAGGGGGGAAGGAGGAGAGAGAGAGAAAGAGAGAGAGAGAAAGGAAAAGAAAGGCAACTAGTAAAAAAAAAAAAAAAGCCCTAGCATTTAAAAATCTGATGTACTCAAACATTCCTAAACAAACCCACATGGGGAGCTAAAAATAGAAAAGAATTTCGGTTTGGATCAGCTTTTGCTTAAAGGCCTTCTATGAGCGCTTTTTTTAGAAATTCCTATCCTGTTCATCATCCTGGAAAGAGGATTAAGACCATGACATCTGATGGCAAAAAGCAGCAGACTAGAAAAGAACGATGCTTTTTCGTCCCAGAAAAGAAACTGTTGATGGACCAAGAAAAGAATGACTGAGATGCTGAAAAGGGTCTTTTGTGTAGGGTTCTGAAAAACGGAATAGTCTTGGGGAAAGTCAGAACAGTTGTTCTAGACTTGAAACAGGGTGTTTGGACCTCCAAATGTTTTGGAACTTTTTGCAGACTACTAGTCTGGAAATCAAGGCCCAGAAGGAACCATGGAAGGAACTAGATGGGACCTATCTTGGAGAAGACTAACAGGAGACACAGACACTGTCTCTGGACCTCTGAAAAGTCATCTTGCAGAAGACAAAACCAGATGTTGTCCTTGGTTGTCTCCAACAGAAGTATTGGGATCCCCAGAGAAAAATAACATGGAAGCAGAGCTGGACAACATGTTTGGAGGAACCTTCTCCTCTGTGAGAACTGGTCGGCAGGGTCCAGCAGTGAAATCCGGGCAACTATTGCAGTTATCTCCACAAAAACTAGGATCGCAAGGCCAACGTTGCCAGCCACTGACTACTCCAAAGACTTAGCTTAGTCTTGTGCATCAGCCCAGAGGGGAGCTTCAGAACCCCAATTCCATCAACTTGGTTCAGCTTTGGATGTTTTCCTAGGCTGGCTGTATCTCTTGCCTCCCAATGTTCTTGTCCAAGCAACAGCCAGGTCCCACTTCTTCTCTGGTCCCTGGACGAAGCCACATCTCCATCACCTAGCAACAAGCCTTGGATACCTCCTCCATCAACACGGCAACAAAACAATCGCAGTGCTTCTCTCTGGAGCCTAGTCCCACATCTTCTACAGAAATGAACCCAAGTGGGTTGGACAATACTCTTGGTACCCTGGTCCACCCTCTAAAATTTGCACATTTTCTTCATCCAAGGGCACAATTTTCAGTTGGGTAGTCCAGCTGGCTGGAGTGACAGGTATTTTGTAAACTGCAAAATTAGCAGGAGATGGTCATCCTAGGACAACGGATCATGGATTGCTCAGGCATGGAATTGCCTTCAGGGGTTTGAGTGGTCACTTTCAGACTCATTCTGAGTCCTAAGGATTGCAAACCAGGGCTCACAATTTTGGGAGGTGAGATCCAGGCCCACGCTTCTAAGTCTGGGGGACTGAAGGAGAATGTGATTCATTTCTCCTAGAAATGAATAGAGATGGATCTCTTTATGTCTCTGAGATGCAAAACAAGCTTGCATTCCAGCCATCTTTCTCCAATAAAACCTCAACGTGGGTTAAACAAGGTGACTCTGCTGCTAAGAGAAAGCAAGAATCAGCAAAGGAGTAAAGGATCTGCAATTTAATAGTGAAGCCCAAGTGGGAAGTTCTTTGGAGAAGTCAAGAAGCTTTGAGAAGCAGAAGACTTTGGAGATTATTTTTTGGAACCTTAACTTGAGGTGTTGGCGAGCGATACACCTACACAATTTTGAGAAAATAAGAATGAGGATTTTCTTCTAAAGACAAAGGGAAGAAACATCACTGGCATCAAAGTGACAGATTTGGGTATTTAAAGAGAAAAACGTGATGCCACAAGAATTAAGGCAAATAACTCACTGACAGATTAAAGGCACTCATGCTGATTTGCTCGAGAGGCATTATTCATGTCGGAGAGAAACAATTGGCTTAGCGCTTCCAACCTGCCAGAAAACCCAACTCCTCTCTCTCACATTTTTTTTAAAGTGACATTTGAAAGTCAAAAACAAGAGATAGGGTAACGTATAAAAGAAAGGCAAGCTCGTTTCGATCAGTGTGGCTTTCAGTTTTCACGGAGACAAACAGAATTGCTTCTATTGGCAGACCAACGGTTTGCAGCTCTGGCTTCTAAAAAACGGAATCATAATGCAGATTTCTATGAAGGCACAAACATTAAAAAAAAATAAAGGAAAGGCAAGTCCTTTCAAATGCAACTTCCTTTGGTTGATCTTGCAAACAGAAAAAAAAATGTTTAGAGGCAGCAATTTGCTACTCTGGTTTGTTGATAAAGGTGGCTTAAAGAAAGTCAGAGAATCTATCTATACTTTATACCAAATGAGACATTGTGATGGGTAAAACCCGGCGCATTGCATTCACGCACGCTAAGGTCGGTGGACAACTTGCATCGTGTTTCCAAGGCCAGTCTTTCAGTCGAAAAAACTATGAAGGGACACTCAGCCGTCCCACAAACCCACCATTGGAAGACAAGGATCTGAGCTGTCACTCCCCAAATTGCAAAACGGATCAAATTACTTTTTCTCAAGGCCTGCAAGCCGGGCTGCCCAGTTGCAACGTTTGAACTCCGCGCCCCGTTTTTGTGCATCAGCGTGAGAGAATGCAAAAAGCTGAATTCTTGGAGACTTCCAGGAAAAACAGCCCGGGGAAGCATTCAATTCCTGCCTTGGGTGTGGGGACTGTGCTGTTCCTGTAAGGGGATTGTGTTCTCTCCTGTAACAGCCTGCAAGAATAATTTTGAGAGACCAGGAGAAGAGCTGCAAAGCAGACAACCAGTGTGTAAAAGGGATCTCAGCCCCCAGAAGGAAAAGGGGCGTGGGAAGCATCTCAGAAGGGACCCTCCCTAGTTTTCTGGAGAGTAAAAGGAAAGGAGGGGAGAAATACTTCCAGTCTTGCAAGAATCTGTTAATGTAACCTGACTATAAAGATAGCATTAGTACTCATATTTGGTGCTTTTTGTCTGGACAACCTCGAAGGACTGACATCCACCTTGCCAGCTCTGAACCTTCTCAGATGCTTCCCACACCCCTTTTCCTTCTGTGGGCTGAGACACCCTTTGCCCGACGGTTGTCTCGGCTGCGGCTCTTCCCCGTCTCCCAAGATTATTTTCACAGGCCATTAAACCTCCCAGGATCTGAAGATCAACCTCTCCAACACCCAGCAAAGAGGCCAACCACCCTCCACTCCCTTCCCACACACACACGCGTGTCTCTTTCTAGGCAGTGAGAGGTGCAGCCGGGCTCTCCCTGGGCAAGGAGGCGAGGTGGTTCCACTACATACTTGGTGGGCGGAGGCTTGGTCCGGGCCCATACGACGGATCTAAGGCGCCCTTTTCTTTGCCAGACTTGTCCTGCTCGCCAGCTGCTTTCAACGTTGGAAAATCCTCGGGAGAGAAGGATAACAGTCGGTTTGAGACCCTTGAACCTGGCGGGAGAAAGAGAGGCCAGGGATCAGAGCAGGCACCGTCTTCCAGCCTTGCCCTTCCAGCCTTGAACTGGAAAGACGGGCATGCCCACACATACCCCGCCCGCACACCAGCTGTACCCACCACCTTCTGGTCTGGCTGGCTTTCCATTCAGCTGCGCCCATGATTTTACTCCACCGGCTACTGAATTTGTACTCTGCGGAAGAAGCGAGAATCATGAAGATGCTCCTGTAGGTTAATAACCTCATCTACCACCAGTACCTTGGAAGATAGTATGATTTACACACGAATGTGGTTTTTACTGTATTTTTATTGTATTTTAATTAATATTTATTCTTGCTTTTACTGCAAACCGCCCAGAGTCGCTCCTTAGCGAGATGGGCAGTGACCAGATTCGAAATAGAAATAAATAAAGAATAAAAAAAATTATGACACGCACGTGCCACCCAACTCTCAGCGACTCTGGGCGGTTCGCAAATCGTGAAAAACCTTTAAAAGCAAGGCAACAGCCCAGAACACATAGTAACAACGCAAAAGGAGCGTTAACGATAATGATAATCGATTAAATGTAGCGGTCGCCTGACTCCCAGCAGCTCTGGGCAGCTTACAGATCGTTAACATTTAAAATCAAGGAAACAAGATGAAAAACAGAAAACAAAAGGAATAATAATAATAATTAATAATAATAAATTAAATTTACATGCTCCCCAACTCCTAGGGACTCTATAATAATATATGATGGTATTATTATGGCTTAGAGGGGTGCAAACCCAACTTGTTACATTAATATACGACAGCATTATTATTATTATTATTATTATTATTATTATTATTATTATTATTATTATTATGGCTTAGAGAGATACAAATCTAATCGGTTACATTAATATATGATGAGTATTATTCTTACTGTAGCTTAGAGTGGTATTATTATTATTATTATGGCTTAAATGCAAATCCGACCTATTACATTAACATACAATTATTATTGTTGTTGTTGTTGTTGTTATTATTATTGGTTAGAGTAGTGGTATTATTATTATGGGTTAGAAGGATGCAAATCCAAACTTAAATTAATATACTGATGTACGATGCTAACTCAAAACCTGGGTTTGTTCAGTAACCAGGTTACTTTGCAGTGCCAAGGCAGCCTCTGCCCACATCTGCGTGTAACGCTATGCCTTGATTTCTCAAAAGTCCCAGGGGGCCTCCGGCCTAGAAAACGTCCTGTTCTAACCACGTTGCACTGAACATATGAATGAGTCAGATTTGGTCTTGCAAAGCAGCCATATAATCATGGCTTGTTTGCCTGCTTCCTGGTTTTTCTTCTGCCAGCAGACAGGACAATCAGACAAACCAGGGAGAAGCCAGGATTCTGGTTCCAGACATAACCACTTAAAGCATGCTAGAACTTATAAGCCAACAAGAAACCAGGTTTCCAATTGGTGGGGGGGTTTCAACTCCGGGACATGGCTTCGCACATCAAATGAAGCCAAAGCCCAACCAATTTAGACGCCAGCGTAAGTTGGAAACCGCTGCTGACATAAATGATCCCTCTTGAGCACAGGTGTAATCTAACCTAGTGAGGTTTGTAACTGCGTAATAGAGATTCCATAGGCAGCAGCAGTCTATCTTGCACCGATCTCCATCCTACCCACCTCCTGGCTGATTGACTGTGTCCGCTTCTGCAAATTGGAGACAGATTTCTGCAAATCCGGCTGCGGCAGCAACTCCTGCGGCTGTGCGGCTGTGCAACTGGAACTGAACGAGACGGAGGAGAGTTATTGAACCGCCCGACGACCTGGATCCGTTCAGAGGCTGTCCCAGATCCCCTGAATATCGATTTATATAAATCTTGGTTGAGCTCAAATCCCTAAGGAAGGTTGAGCAACGGACAGGAGACCACAGGGAAAGCCAAGCCTGCGGACGTTGTCAAGTTTAAAAAAAAAATTCCCGAAGATCGTGGCAAACAAATTCCACGTTGTGGCCAAGAAAACGTCATGGATATGTCTTACAGCAATAACATGCAGAACGAGCAACTTTTTCACCTCCTTGCAAAGGGGGGAAAGAGGAAATTCGGTTATTATACCCTACAGCAATAAAATATCATTCCTGGAATCCTTGTGATGCCTCTTTCCTGACATGGCCTACCTCGAAAGGCTGACATCGTCGATCTTGATGGCCTGCTAGTTTCTCTCGGCCCTATCGCGTACCAAACAGAGTGAGGGCAGGGGGATTTTGCGGGTTTTTCCCTCCCGCCTTCCATATTCCAAGGACGGAGTAGCCATTTCCCTTGAATACCTCATCTGTTCCTCCATCCAAGTTATTGCAGAGGAACACAGAGCTTATTTTGAGAAGGAACTTAGCCCCAGGAAGGAAGACGGGGTGGGAAAGAGACTCAAGATTACCCCACCTTGATTCTATTTGGTATAAGAGAAAGCAGAGGGAACACCGGAAGTCTTTCAAGATTCTGTTTATCATACCCTACAACAATGAAGTTGAGTTCCTGTCGTCCCCGCAGCGTCTCACTCCTGACCTGGCCTACCTTGGAGGGCTGGTTTTTCCAAAGAAAAACGGGGAAGCGCCGACTTACCTCTTTTGCTCTGGAGGGTCCTGTTTGTTTGCCCATCCTGTTCCGTCCTTGGGCACGATGATGATGTTGGGGTCGTTTCCTTTGTGCTCCGACTTCAAACTTGGCAAGTTGGCAGGAGGGGGCATACGCCGCGCGGAAGCAACTTTCCCAAGACTTTGTAAGCCATGTCTAGGAATAACTAGCCAGGGAGGGAGCGAGAGAGAGAGAGGGAACAACAAGAATTGATCTGGATCGATTGTCCTCTGCATTTATCGCAACGAGCACCCGCGACTGTCCCAGATCCGTAAATGGGCACCAAGGTGGGACACACATGTCCCAGCGATGCTGTTTTAGACCAAATCTCCCTGTGCATTTTATGCATTCAGCACTCCCTTTTTAGTAACTCTGCTTAAACTTCTTGCCACGCCAAGAAGCAAGAAGTTAAGGACAATGAATATTTACGAGGCAGCCAAGAAGGGCCACGCACGTACGAGGCTCAGTGGAATCGCAAACACAGCCCACGGATCCGTGGCCCCCGAAAGCAGAGGAAAATGTAAAAGAAGGGCACGCTTTTCCCCAGATGCTACTGAGAAAAAGAAAGGTTAGCGGTAAAGACGCTCGCGTGTTGGCTCTTTTCGACTCCAAGGGACGACGACGTTTTTTTGTTTTAATTCCCAACAGAATCGCCAGCTTGGAATTTCTGGGGGTCTCCCCACACAGCCAGGTTCAGAAGAACCAACAGATGCCAGATGGTACCCCGTGTTGTGAGTATACAGAGTGACGAGCCATCCGGCAACTAACTCAGTTCTTTCTTCCCGTTAAATTTACTAGCAACAAAAAGAGGCAACAGGTAAAGATGCATTCGAGCTGATCTCAACGTGTACTGCCTCCAGGGACATGACCGTGCCAATTCCTAGTCTTCTGCTGTGGGATCTCCTGGTGGTGTCCCATCCCTCTCATATCCAGCTTAGCTTCCAAACCTAGATCGGCAGGGGCAGCCAGATTATCAAAAGATGGCTGCTTTAAATGCAAAACCTCCCACCCTTGTGGCTAATCCGTTCCACCCCACTTACCTGTGCTTCTGACTGTTTCTACTGACTTTCCTTTATATTTATCAAACAGGCTGAGCGTCGCGTACTTGCTTTTCCCATCCTTTCCCTTGGTTATTTGCCCCGAACGATCGGACATTGCGATGAAATGTCATCGAGTAAGGAAATTTCTCTGCACCGCTCCTGATCTGCCTGCAGAGAAGAAGGGGGTACGAAGAGGACAAAAAGAACAGATGAAGAATACACAGCCATGTTTTTAGAAAGTGCTAAGAATTCTGCACGGAAAGAAGATGGAAAGTGCTGCCGTCATGTTTCGGGAACTACATGCTAGAGCAAAGGAAGCTTTTAATTAATTGTGCACCAAACCCATTTCTGTAATTCTCAAATCTTCTCTTGTTAAAGAGATGTCTGTTTTTCTACTTTAGCCCCGGGAAGCTTGAGAATTTCTTTCTAATTTCTCTTAGGGGTGTATTTGAGATTCCTTGGCTGCTAGAAGTGGCAGAAGGGCGACTTCTGACAATTGTGCTTTCTAGCTACTGCTTTCTTTCAACTGTTCGTATTGCCTGATCTGAAAATGCCCCTTGGGAGGATGTTTTCTAGCCTAGGAGCCAGGAAAGGCGCATATCCCTGGAGAGAGAAGCATGCAATGAAAAGATAACATGCACCCTTGCTCCACATGTTCCACCTGATTGCTGAATTAACCCATTTTTCTGAGTTTTTGCAATACTTTTGAACCGCCAACTACCCAAGCTCCTTGCCTCTGCACAACATTTTGCCCCAAAAAACCAGACCCAAATTAAAACCAACCACGTTTTGCACAATGCATGGAGGCAGTGCCACATGGAGCCCTCTTCCCACCACAGACATTCCCATCTCCTTGGAAAAGAATCTGAAACGCCAATTCTTTTACTAAGCTGAAAATCAGTAGGAAAAAATGCTGAGAGTTGTTCTCCGGAACATGGGTTTGAAATGCAGGATTTCGAACGGCAGATGCCGGGGAAACTCACACATCCCAGGTTTTGAGGGGTATTCCGGGGAGGAACACACACAAGCCTTATTGGGTATTGTTGGCACAGAAATGATCTGGGGCTGCAACTCCATTGGCTATAGATGATGGGAGTTGCAGTCCGTGAGCAGGAAAGCTGCCACACATTTCATTTCCCCGTAAACTCTAGGAAGCTAGAAGGGTGGGGAGTTTGCCCTTTCCGCCACAAAATCAATTTGGGATTTTGGAATCTAAGCATGGCATCTCATGTCAAGCCAGCCACCAGCCAATAAGAGAAAGTTTAGCGGAGGAGCTCTCTGGGAGCTTGCTGATTCAATCTGCAAGCATTTGCCTGCTTAAAAGGCAATTGGAGGGAGGGTAGATAGGTAGATAGATAATATGGAAAACTGAAGGAGAAAAATGCCAAGAGGGAGGGAGGGGAAAGAGAGAGATAAAATATGGAAGATAGAGGAAGAGTCTGAGGGAAGGAGGGAGGGAGGGAGGAAGGGAGACAGGGAGAGAGAAGGAAGGAAGGAAGAAAATAAGAAAGGGAAAAAAGAGAAAGAGAAGGGAGGAAGGAAGGAAGGAAGGAGAAAATATGGAAGAGTGAAAGAAAAGGGAGG